AACTCCCCTCCTCAACCTTGGCATCATCATACACATAAACATTTTTAGGTTGGTGCACAGTCTTCACAAGTAATTTTTATTGTACAATGTCTATCAAATGAATACACAACAGTTCGCCATTCTAATAAGAAGATGGGGGTGGAGGAAGAGGAACTCATTGATGAGGCCCTGGAGGAAATGACACTGAGGTAAGGGAATAACAGGTAAAATTCACTGAATATTTGCCATATGCTTACTTCGCTCATTCATTCCTTACTTAACCTATGCCACAGCCCTCTGAGGTATGCGATACTACCCCCTCTCCATAAAAGGGGAGGGAGGTGAGTAATTTAGCAGATGGTCTGAAGTCACTTGGTATTTTGAATTTAGGATAATTTGAGTGACATACTTAAGGTTTTTGAACTTTTGTATATGTAGGTTATAATTTTTAAGACCACCAGTTGCTGTTGAATCAACTCCAACTCATGATGACCCCAGGTATGTCAGACTAGAACTGTGCTTCATAGGCTTTCTAGTGGCTGTTTTTTCAGAAGTAGATTGCCAGACATTTCTTCTGAGGTACCTCTGGGCAGACTCAAACAACCAACTTTTGGTTAGCAGCCAAGTGTATTAACTATTTGCACCAAGTGTTAACTTAAAAACACTCATATGTACTTACATTATTACTATGGGGTTGTTATTAGCTGCCACTGGGTCAACTCTGCTCATAGCCAACTTATGTACAACAGAATGAAATTTGCATCCTCCCCACAATTGCCATCATATTCAATTTCACTGAATATCTTACAGATCATTTATTACTGTAGAAATTACAGTGCTGGAGAAATTTAGAAAAGGAAGAATATTCATAAATCCCACCAGCATTGTTACCATGCTAATACACTTAAGTTTTTCTCTAAGCATGTTTTTAAGTAGTTTTAATCATAGTGCAGTGTATATAATTTTGCATTTTGTTTTTCTCTTTAATGATAACATATTTTTAATGTGATAAACATTTTTAAGTTGTGCATAGCACAACTAGTTTTTATTGCTGTACAATTTGCATCAAGTGAATACACACAATAGTTAGTCATTCCCCTATAACAATAGGAAATATTTTTACTTTTCCTTTTCAATGTGGGAGCACTGTGGGATGCTGTAGCCTTGATTTCCTCTCTTTTCATCTCCTACCACCACCCTCCCATCTCCTTTCTAGGTAGGCATCAGGGAAGATTAAAGGAAGTTACTAGTGCCTAAGGCACTTGACTGCTCACCAGAAGGCTGGCGGTTCAAACCCACCAGCCACTCCTCGGAAGGAAGGTTGGGCAATCCTACTTCCATAGTGATACTGCCTCGGAAACCCAAGGAGGGGTCGCTATGAGTCGGGGCCGACTCGACGGCAAACAACAACAACAACAGTAGAACTTACTTGCTTGGACCCAACCAGTAAGAAGTAGTCTATCACAACTTTAAAAGGGAGCATGCTCTTCCCTGACAGGCTCTGTCTGCCTTCTTTCTCCTCTTCACCTAATTCTTGCTCAATTTTTGGCTATCAAGGAGACTTTTGACTCCCAGACCAGGTAAGGTCTCCCTGTTACAGGCTAGTATAGCTTTTGGTCTTCTCCTTAGTAGTATTTATGACACTGTGGAAGGATAGAGGCTCTTTCTTATTCACTCTTCTGTCCCTAGTACTTTGCACAGGGCCTGTTACTTGGTAGGTGTTCAATAAATTCTGGCTCAATAAATGTGTGATTCAATACATGCTATAGTGATTGTATTGCTGGTATTGTTGTAATAGTCAGTTGCCCTTGAGTCAGTTCCAACTCAATGACAACTTTGCTAACTGTGCTCTATAGAGTTTTCAATGACTGACACTTTGGAAATAGATTGACAGGTCTTTCTTCCAAGGTGTCTCTAGGGACTTGATTCTCCAGCCTTTCGGTTAGCAGCCAAGCGTGCTTATGGTTTGCCCTACCCAAGGACTCCTGCATTGCTACACCCATTGTCATCGAGTTGATTCCAACTCATTATCTCTTGTATGGTTTTAAATTTGTTTAACTTTTTTTTTTTTTTTTGTATATTGTATTCCTAAGCTATTTGAAAGAAGGTGTGGTGGCATAGTGCCTAAGACATTTGTCTACTAACCAAAAAGTTGGCAGTTCAAACCCACCAGCCCACTCCACAGAAAGAAGATGTGACAAGCTACTTCTGTAAGGATTTACTGCCTCAGAAACACAATGGGGGTTGCTATGAGTTGGAACTGACTTGCGGGCAGTGAGTTTTTTTGAAGCTATTTAATGATAGGTTTCATGTCTTATACTTTTCATGATTTATCAATTTATTTGTTTTCCCTTTTTCATTTCACCTAAAAAATCAATAACCACCACTTATTAAATGCCTATTGTACACCAGGAGCTGTGCTTGTGGTACATAAATATTTTGTTTTCCAGGAATATCTCTTCCACTAGGAGAGATTATTGTTGCGTAACATGTCGTTGAGTTGTGTCCAACTCCTAGTGACTGCTCATTGCGTTTCCAAGGCAGAATCACTATGGAGGTAGATTGGCCAAACTTCCTTCCGAGGAGTGCCTGGTGGGTTTGAACCACCAACCTTGTGGTTAGCAGTCAAATGCCTTAGGCACCACACCACAAAGTGATATAGGGAGTTTGATTCTAGGGTTTTTAGTTTGGTTGACTAAGTAGAATACTGTATTCTTGACTTAAATGGGGAAAATGAGGAGAAGCAGACTTGGAAAGAGAGGTACAGAATTCAGTTTGTGGTAGTATTTGGATGGATCCATCCAGTCCTGGAGTTCAGGAGACAGATCTGGGCCAGATACACAAATTTAAGAGACTTTGGTATATTGGTGATGGTTGAAGCTGAGGCAGTAGATTAGAGTGACCATGTGGAATTTATAGAGAAAGATAAAGCCAAAAAAGAGAAATGTGGAGATTATCAGCCTCTGCGTGGAGGATGAAAGAAGAGAAAGATGAGAAGAAATAAGAGTAGAATGGGCATCAATATAGGCAGAGAATCTGGAAGACGTGTTACAAAGTCTACTTGAAGTTTCAAGAAAGAGGGGGTCAGTATTGCCAGATGCTTCAAAAAGGGAAAACAAATCTGAATGGAAATGCTTCCTTTGAATTTAGCAATAAGGAAGTCATTGGGGAATATGAACTGTGTTATGAAAAAACAGATGTGCTCACATTACAGTGAGTTGAGAAGTGAATAGGAGGTAAGGAAGTGGAGAGCACTGGTATAATCCACTCTTTGAAGAACTGAAAGAGTGGAGAGAGAAAGGGAACGGTAGCTAAAGGGACTCAGAAAATCTAGGGTCTTCCACATCCTTTTTGAGTATAGGTGGATGTGAGGGAAAATCCCCTGCATGGGGCTCTGCACCCAGATCCATTCTTCACTTTCACTGCTGTCTCTGTCTTCAGGGGCTGACTCCTGAGGGTTGAATAACCCAGGCTCCCTCGTGGGATAGTTCACTACTGAATTCAAATATCCAGTGAGGGTAGGAGACTGGAGGGAGGAGGGAAGTCTGAGTGTTCACTCCCTGCTCCTCCCTGCTTCAGCAGCTCTGACGGTGGCTGTCTCCCTCCACCGCTCCAAGCTCCTACTGGACTTGAGTTCACCTGTCTTTTCAGGCCCAGAGCAGTAACAACTTCCTGCTGTTGCTGTTGTCCGAGTACCTCAGCATTTCTTGTCGTTCCTTCAGCCTGGTCCACAAGGCTTCATTACAAGCCCCTTCACTAAGAGACTTTTCAGTTGAACCTTCCAAGTGCAATTCTGTTTCTTGCAGCCCCTCACAGAAAAGGGTTGAAGACATTACATGACACCCCACATGGTCATTTCTCCTTAAAGAGAGGAGAGTAACAGCCTGTGAGTAGTGACTACTGCTCTTAAGCAAATTATGCCACAGCCTATGTGCCTCTTCCAAGAAATAGCTGCAAAAATGGAGGACAAAAGGCAACTTTTACAAGTTCTCAGTAAAAATGTCAAAAGTCTTATCTTTTATATGTATGAATATATGTGTGTGTATGTATTTTTTGAGGGAAAATATGTACAATTGTTTTTAAAGTAATAAAAAAATGCTTATCATTGAATGCCATCATAGGCCTTTAACATCTGCCCTGAGAGAAATTTTAAAAGATTTTAAAAATTGACCAGTTGCAACTGTTGCTGTCTTATGGCCCCACTGGGCTTAGCATGGCACAGGCAAACTTCTCTCTCATGTGCCCCCACCTCTAAGGCAGTGTGCCAGTTCTAAGACGCAGAGATCTGGGGCAGGAAGAAAGAGAGAGAGGGGTGTAAACAGCTCAGGCAATGCCCAGAAAATACTTGATGACACACTAAAGAAGCGAGAATGTCCAGACTTCCTCTCTCGTACTTTGGTTATGTTATCAGAAAGGATCATTCCCTAGAGAAGGCTGTCATGCTTGGTAAAACAGAGGGTCCACGAAGAAGGGAAAGACCCTCAACAACACGAAGAAGGGAAAGACCCTCAACAAGATGGAGTGACACAGTGGCTGCAGCGACGGGCTAAAGTATTGCAAAGATTGTGAGGATGCTTCAGGAGAGGGCCAGTGTTTTGTTGTGTTGTAAATAGGGTTGCTATGACTTGAAACTGACTCGGCACCTTGCAACAATATCAGCATACAGAGTAAACCTCTTGACTGGGTCTCAGTTTCTTATATATCTTGGCTTTAGAGAAGGTATCTTCAAACATAGCTTTAATACAGAGAGCTTTTATATTTCTAAGCTGAAAGGATAAAAATCTTTTATAAGCAACAGGTTGGAGACACAGACAGGCATCTCTCCCTGGCATGAGGCCTTGGGCAACCCAGTCCACAAGGGGAGGGTTAGTCAACTTCCCCACTCCAAGCCAACATGACTGATACCAAGATGACTCAAAGGTAACATTTATTAGCCACTCTCAGTGTGTGAACTCTCCATCTCTCTGGCCCTTGCCCACAGCCTGTCCTCTCACGCAGGACACCCTTTGCTTGGGGAAGCCTCATGGTGGAGTAACAAGAGGGCTGGTGTTCTGAGCTGGCCCTGGGCACTCTACAGGGTGCTTCAGTGTTTTGGGGAAGGGAAGGACAAGTAATTTCTTCTCTTTGGGCCCCAGGAAGAGGAAGGAGATATCCAGGGCTTCTCCCTGGGGATTGGTGGTCAGGTCCAGCTGCACAGGGAAGGCCTCATGGGGGCCCATTGCCTGGGAATCCCCAGGTTTCTCATCATCCAAGTCAGGGAGGTACTGGACCGATCCTTTGGGCACAGCCTCTGAGGGTACATTGCTGGGAGCCGGGCCTTTCCACTGGGGCTCTTCCACCTTGGGGAGGTTCGCAGGCCCCTGGGTAGCAGCAGGGTTTGCTTCTCCAGGAGCAGGAGCCTGAAATGGAACACTTTTTACAAGCAGAGTTACTTAGGGAAAGCCCTGCCATGCCTGGTATCAAGCTGAGCTGTTCTGTGCCTTTCTGATGGTATGGTTCAAAGGGAGACCTTCTAAAGGACCATGTCTCCTGTTTAAAGGCCAAAAAAGCAAAAGAATGATAAAGGCAAGAGGTCTTCTAGAGCAGCAGAAAGTACTGCCAGTCTCACATATTGCAGAGATGAGCAAAAGTACACAGAGATTAAGTGACTTATTCAAAATCCCCAATGAGCTGATGTCCTTGCTCCTACTGTGGTCCCAATAGCCACGTTTTACTAACTGTTTATCCTGTGCCAGGGTTTATGCAGCACCCTTCAGCCAAGCCTTCCCATTGGTTTCTCACAGGGATCTGAATACGTTAAGCATTTCAAACCCATTCTATAGATGAGGCAACCGAGACTCAGAGAGGTAAGTACTGACCCTGATCACACAGCTCACAGTTGGCAGAGCAGGACTGAAACCCAGGTTGCCTGTGTCAACTGCCCTGTCAGCTCTACCAGGATGCCCCCTAATAAGGACTCCATACATACTTCTGGAAAGGGATTGAATGTTTCTGTTTCAGATAAATTCTTCCTACAGTTCTGAGCAAGGTTTGTCTGGGACACTGAATTTAATGTCCCAGAGGCATGTTGCAGCCAAGCCAGAAGGCCCTTGTGTCTGAATTGCTCTTCCTTACTGTGCAGGACCACACAGTGGCTACAACAAAGTGAGACAAGTCTTTGACTAACCCTAGTAAAGTGGAAATAGTGGGTCTTCGTGAAACAAAAGGAGAGAGTGAGGTAGGAGCAGCTGAAATACAAATAATTTCTCTTTTCTTCACAGAAACACAATAATCAGATTGAAAAAGTACCTGTGATTCAAAGAAGTCACAAGCCACTGAGATAAATTTATCTTCATCTCTTTGATTCAGAGAACCTCTACAAAGACCAACGGGCTAAAAGAAAGAAAAGATACAATGTCAAGTAAGCATTTAAGACTATCATTTTTGCTACTGTGTTAGTTGCCATTGAGTTGATTTCAACTCATGGTGGTTCCCTGTGAAATGATCATAAATAAAAGTCAACTTTCTTTCTTCTCTGTAGACAAACAGCCGATCAACATTCAGGATACTGAAATAAAATATTGTCTCAATTTCTAAAGAAGTGCTCCTAAGCATAACTTAGAACTTGCACATAAAAATTACTTAAAATATAGCTACCCAGATTGCTTGAATATCACCCTACCACCCTTTTCCAGACCATTATCAGAAAAAACTAGAAATTCCTAAAACTGAAATATCCATTCAAGTACTTCCTCACCAAGTCAAATAGGGGAGAGGCTCCAAGAGAACCCTCTGAAGAGACTGCAGATAACTGCATCAAGTACAGTCTATCTACTCCCACCCCAATTAGGAATTGCCAAATTGCTGAAATTTGCCTACCAGGTGCTGATACAAAAGTGGACAACAAAGGGACAGTTTGCGTATGGGCTTGATATGTGAAACCTAGAGCACAGGGAAATATATGACTGTGGAGATTGGTGTCTGATTCTCTCTGTAGAATTCTGAGGATGAGATCCTCACTAAAGCAGCTGACCATGGCAGATTAAGGACAGAGGGCAGTGATAAGAAAGCCTTCTTGCATCACTTGGTTTAGGAAGAATATTTGAAAATTGCATAGGACAAGCCAATGTCATAGGTAGGGTTCTTTTATGGCAAACATCCAAGGGGTAACCTTCCAGGAAAGGGGCATTTAATAGAAAGCATCTGTGGGGGTTCCAAAGAGTCATCTAGAGGATACAGCACTCCTCTAGGAAAGGCCCTGTGGATGAACCTACACATGTGCCACTCGATAGAAGCAGCATTGGAGCTGGTCTCACAGTGACCAGTGTTGGCCAAGAGAAAACTGCGATTTCAAGTCCAGTTATGTAAAATGACTTTGCACTCTTTTTTTGGAATCCTTTCTCCTTCTTCCCAAACCTCTAAGAGCCAGAATTAAGCAAGAGAGGGCTGGAGCAAGAGAAGAAATGAAAGAATAGACCTTGATCTTTACCTGGGTCCTTAGCTCCAGGCTTGAAGTACAGCAAGGAAGAAGCTTTGAATTGGATATAAAATAGAATTTTTTATTCAGAATTGACTAAACAGAACATTTTCATACCTAGAAGTCTTAATAAATTAAGTTATATTGTTGTTGTTGTTGTTAAGTGCCGTCGAGTCATTTCCGACTCATAGCGACCCCATGCACAGCAGAACGAAACACTGCCCGATCCCGTGCCAACCCCACAATCCCTGCTATACTTGAGCTCA